TTATTTGCATTATCTTTTTAAAATAAACCTTTATTTTAGAGTATTTTATGATTTACAGAAATGTTGCAAAGCTAGTACAGAAGAGTTCCCATATACCCCATATGCAATTTCCCCTGTTGTTAACAACTTGCAGTAAGTGGTACATTTGTTAAAACTAATACAGCAATAATGACATAATATTATTAATTAAAGTCCATACTTATTCAGGGGTTCAGGATCACATTACTTTTTGTCTTCATAGTCTTTAGGCTTCTTTTGGCTGTGATCTTTCTCAGACTCTGCCTGGTTTTGATGAACTTGGTAGTTTTGAGGAGTATAGTAGAAGTATTTTGTAGAAAGTTTCTCACTGGGATTTGTTTTCTGTTTTTCTCATGACTTGACTGGGATAACAGGCTTTTGGCAGGAAGACCATAGAGGTAAGTGCAATATGCCTCATGAGACTGAAAGTACACACCATCAATATGACATCACTACGGATGTTAATCTCGGTGATCTCCTTGAGATAGTGTTTGTCAATTTTTTTCATTGTCAATTTATTCCTTACCTACTTTCCATATTGTACCTTTTGGAAAGACCTCAGTATGTATAGCCCTTACTTAAGGAGTAGGGAGTTAAGTTTCAACTTCATGAGAAGTTGAAACCTGTAAATTACTTGGAATTACTCTGCACAAGAGATTAATCTGTTCTCTCCTATTTATTTATATATTCAGTCATTAATTTACACCAGCATAGAACCATATTTATTTATTTTATACTTTGAGTTACAATTCAGTGCTACATTATGTGTGCAAATAATTTGTGGTGTGAAAATTATTCTAGCTTTGACTACTGGGACTTCTTTCAGTCAGCTCCCATATTCCGTTAACATTCTCCATTAACGTGTATGTGTGTTTGCTTGTATTTTAAGTACTTGTTTGGTTTCTAGCACTTTAAGATGTTTCAAATTCATGTATTTTCTGCTCTAGTCTAAGAAGCAGCCATTTCTCCAGGGTTTGGGTGTTTTATTTTGTTTTGTTTTCAGTTTTGGAGAATGGTATTAAAAGCCAAGATCTGGATGTTAATGTGAGCCCATTGACAATGGGGTGTTATTTCTCCTAGTCCTTCTCAGCTGACACAGCCAGAAAACGCATGTATGCACACTACTCAATGTACATACAGTAGAACCACCATAGTTGACTACCTCCCTAAGTTGACCACATCCTCAAGTTGACCTAATCTTCATAGACTGACATGTACCACATATATGTGTCAGTGCAGTAAGCCTAGTTCCTTGTGTTGACCACCTCCATATGTTGACCAGTTTGTTACAGTTCCCTGGGTCATCAACTTTCAGAGGTTCTACTATATTATGTATCTATTAATATTTTTGCATGTAATGATTACTATTCACATTAATTAAAAAAATTCATACTGAGGTCTCAGACTCTTATCCATTACCACATGTACCCTTCTCCTCTTTCATCTCTTCTATCTCCCACTCCAACAATGAGAAACTGGGCTCTTACCACCTGCCATCCATTTACTGTTCATGCAGAGTGTTTTCAGAATCATTAGCCCATACTCTGTGGGAAATAATGTCACCCCAGTACCCACTGCTTACCCACAGCTCCTTTGCTTTGGTTTTACAATTGCCACTCATTTAAAAAGTCACAGAGGCCAGAATTTGTACTCACCGGTTCCTTCTTTTTAGCCACTGACTGAGTCCATTTTGTGCTGCTATAACCAAATATCACAGATGGTGAAATTTATAATGAACAGAAATCAGGAGGTAGGGATATCTGAGTCCAAGGGGCCAGGGTCTGGTGACAGCCTTCTTGCTGTATCATCCTGTGGGAGAAGGGCAAAGAAAGGGCAAGAGAGATCAAGAGGAGACTGGACTCCTCTTTTCCTAAATAACCCATGTCTGCAATAATGGCATTAATCCCTTCATCAGGGTACAGTACTCATGGCCTAATTATCTCTTAAAGGCCCCACCTCTTAACACTATAGTTTTGGGGATGGATTTTCTGACTATAGAAATTTGAAGGACACATTCAAAATATAGCAGTCATTGGCTTACAGCAAGTTGTCACTAACTAGCACAGTTAGAGAAGAGAAAGGTAAAAATATTTATAGGTCCATTATATGAAAGTAGTTGAATACAGTAAAAGTAGTCAAAAAATGACTAAATTTCTACAGAGAGAGTGATAAAACATCTATTTAATTGACTTTTAAAATTGTAGAAAGATCCTTAAATCTGTCATAATAATTTTGAGAACATGACAGTGGGTTTTATTTTAGACCTGAGAAGAACATGGAATATCAAAAGCCTATGAGGGAGAAATAAATATTTTTTCTCCCCCTTTTAGTTCCAGGATGAGACTCTTATAACAAAAAACAGATTAACAATAAAAAACAAAAATATTTTTTAATATAAGTTTTACATAACATTGAAACCTTTGTGAAGAAAGACCTGAAAAGGGTATATGTGTGTATAATTTTATATATGTGTATTTTTGTGCTTGATTCTGATGACGAGTAGATGTTTATGAAGAAATATGAATGGAAAAAAAAGGTAATAATGGTAATAAACTGGGGGAACTTGGGATGACCTGTTCAGACTCTCCTTTGTGCCCCTGTATCTTCAGAGATAAGGATATCTTGTCCCTCTCCAATGAGAGGACATCTTTCCAGTGAAGGTCATATGACCTGCTCTGGGGAAGAAGGGTGACAGAATGGGAGGGAGGCAGAATGGAGATGGGTACATGTGGTAATGGATAAGATCTTGAGACCTCAGTATGATTCTTTTTAATTAATGTGAATACTGATCATTATGTGCAGAAATATTAATAGATATGTACATAATAGAACCTCTGTAAGTTGATGACCCAAGACTGCAACAATTTTCCTGTATTTGCTTTTTTCTCAAATGCCAAGGTACTATATTTTTGGATAGTGTATTGTGAACCTCATTACCAATATATCTTAAGTATATATATTTTAATAAAGGTGATTAAAATAGAAAACAACACTGTGATGTAAGAAGACAAGATACACAATTGTTCCATTTTTCAATAAAGAGAAATTTAGAGAAAAGATATTAAAAATGGAATACATTATTAAAATATGTTACCAATAAAGCTGAAGCTTTTAATCATTGAAGTTATCAGGTATGTGTTTTGGATATAAGATATGTGATTATGTGCCATTCAAGTATCTAAAAACAAGTAACTATGTTATCAATTCTGTGATGGAAAACACATTCCAGGCCTCCAATGTCATTCCCACCCATGGAGGAAATAATTTGGTGATTCAGCCATCTCAATTTCCTGGTTCCCTTTCATGTTTCCTTTACCTCAAGGTCCCTAACTCTTATCGTACTTAGCAGAAAAGTTAACAATTCTTCTGTCACTATAACTCATCAACTGATTAATTTCTTGCTCTAAAAAGAAGTCTTGAAAAAAAGTAATGGGTTAATTAAGTACAATGTAAATTTAAACAATTATTTCTTAGTAATATTTTAACTCTAATTATTTAAAAGAGTATAAAAAGTAGGGATTCAGGCAGTCCCTTAGCAAGCCTTAAATTAACTAAACAGCCATATGTGATAATTCACTTTGTCATACTCATAATCTTAAAACATCTTCAGTTACATACTCATTGAAAAGGTTGAAAACCCAGTGCTTTTTGTGCATTTCAAAGTTAACTCTAAAATTGTTCAACTCATTTGAACAAGTTCAAAACAATAGGATATTATATGAAATCACTTACATTTTTTAAAGAAGTATAAATTTTAGAAATGAAAAGAATAATGACCAAATTTAAGAACTCAGTGGGTAAGTTTAACAGATCCAAAGTCATATCTCAACAGGGAAACAGCAAACTGGAACCCTGGTCAAAAAAACAATTCAGAAATGAAATAGAGAGATTAATAAAAAAGTTTGGTACCTAAGCAGAGATACTGAGATAATACTTAAGTTTTACTTAATCTTAAGATAAACTTAAGTTTTGTTGATGTATACTATAGTATAGTTATGTATGCTATCAAGAAAACTTAAGTAGTATTTACTCAGAATTGTAGGAGGAAAGGAATGAGGGAATGAAATATAAAGTCTATTTTTTTCTTTTTTTTTATTAAACCATGAACACACAGATCATGTATACATTAATGCATTTATGAGGTATAATGTGCTGATTTCATATAGAATTAGGGACACTTACATTACCCTGGTTAATATATACCAAATCTCATTTACTTAATTATTGTGTTAAGACATTTATATTTTATACTAATAGATCCAACATGTACCCTTGCATTATGCCCCATTAGTGTGATACCACCATTCACCCTCCCTTGATCTGACCTGCCCTCTCATCCGCCTATCTCTCTCCTTACTCAGTAGGATATGTTCCAGCTCCATCCATGTAAACATAAAAGGGGTAAAATCTCCATCTTTTTTAAGGCTGCATAATATTCCATAGTATATGTATACCACAATTTATTAATCCATTCATGGGTCAATGGACACTTGGGCTTCTTCCATGACTTGGGTATTATGAATTGAGCTGAAATTAAAAATACGGTGCACATATCTTTGTTATAAAGTGATTTTTGTTCTTTTGGATATACACCTAGTAGAAGAATTGCAGGATCAAATGGAAGGTCTACTTTTAGATCCCTGAGTATTCTCCATACTTCTTTCCAAAAGGGATGTATTAGCTTGTACTCCCACCAGCAGTGCAGAAGTGTTCCCTTTTCTCCACATCCACACCAACATCTGTAACACCTTACTGGAATTAGATGATATCTCAAAGTGGTTTTGTTTTGCATTACTCTGATGATTAAAGATGATGAGCATTTTTTCATGTATCTGTAGGCCATGCACCTATCTTCTTCAGAGAAGCTTCTGTTCAAGTCCCTTGCCCACAATGAAATGGGATTACTTGTTCTTTTCTTCTTAATAAGCTTGAGTTCTCTGTGGATTCTGGTTATCAAACCTTTGTCAGAAGCATATTAGAAAGCATAGCTGAATACTATGTTCTTTTATCAGTAGTTTACATAGCTAGACACCATGCAAAAACAGTCTTCCCTTTTAAAATGACTGATAATATGCTAAGTTATTTCATGGTATATCATTATTAAAGGTGAAAAACGTGAAAAAAAATAAAGGCTATTTAGAGATAATGGTTGAAAATTTAAAACATCATTCCACATATTCATAAAGTTTAACAAACTGTAACAAGATGTATAAGAATAATCTCCTCCTACATGTTTCAAAAAGCAAAACAAACAACAAAAACCAAAATAGTAAAACATTACAATAAAATAGATCAGTATTGGCAAAGATCACTGTGAAGAAAAACATGCTTTCCATTGACTCTTCAATATCACTATGTAGCCAGAAGACAAGAAAATGACCATGAGCATAGAATTCAATATTCAACAAACGTATGCATCAAGAAGCAAGAAAAGGGATGTATTAGTTTGCAATCCCACCAGCAGTGCAGACATGTTTCCTTTTCTCCACAATCATGCCAGCATCTG